TTTACACCAATCCACACGCGCTTTTTTTTAGCCTCCGTTAAATTGTGTGGTATCCACCGAGCGCAAAGCTTTCTGACGGCAAGATGAACATGCAGGATGGTTCTGATTTGAGTCATACCTATCCCCAATGATGCCTAAATATCCCTGCATGTGCATCGGTTATCTGCCTTCATCATGTTGTGCACGGCATCGATGTTTTCTGGAGTGATTGCAGTGGCAGGCCGTCCCTCACGATGCTCGTCTTTGAGCGAAACACGTCTACGCTGGAACTCGTGTACCATCGTTCAACAGTCGCCAAGGATAGTACTTCATCGCCAACAATAGCTTGATTTTTTGCGAACACTGTTATCGAGTGAGACCGTCTTTAAAATTGTAGAAAATCATGGCTTGAAAATTTTTGCGCGTTAATTTCATTTTTCACAAAACTCACTTTGTTTAAAAAATTACTAAACAAAGACAACAGCATATATATGCTAAGAATTTGTAAATGCTATTTGGACTAAAAAATCTCGGAGAATACGAAAAAAATATTTCCGACAGCGCCATCTTACGGGAAATAGCTAAACCGCAAAACTTTTAAAGCAACCTACGTACAAATTACAGCCTCTTATATATACAAAAAATGTGTTCTACATTTAATTTTTTTATTTTTAATACATATAATTATTTTAGGTAATTATAAGTATTCAGGAAAAGGATAAACCTTTAGACAATCACATTCTTGCATCTCCTCGCTATTATTGTCTCAAAGATAGAAGTTACATTATACTAGGTGGACTGGGTGGATTTGGGTTGGAGTTAACCGACTGGCTGATATTTCGAGGCGCTAGGAACGTCATATTGATTTCACGAACTGGAATAAAAAACGGTTACCAGCGCATGAAAGTTCGACTGTGGAAATCATACGGTGTAAATGTTCTGATTATCAAGGACATTGATGTTGCTAACGCTCAAGATTGCGAATATCTCTTACAAACAGCGGAAAGAGAAGGACCAGTAGACGCGATATTCAATCTTGGTGTTGTATTGAAGGACGGTATTCTAAAGAATCAAACTGCTGAAACCTTTGCAGAGTCCTTCCAATCGAAGGCTCGAGCAACTAAAATATTGGATAAACTTACTAGAAAAATCTGCCCTAAACTTCGACATTTCATAGTATTTTCTTCCGTTTCCTGCGGCAAAGGAAATGCTGGACAAACTAATTATGGCATGGCCAA